ACATTTGGTAAGTATTCTCTTTAACTTTCCCTCCAAGTCAGGATGTACTTAAGGTAAGTCTTTTGATGCTCAAAGCCGCGAACTCTCTCTCGTAATTATGGAAGGTGAATCTCGAGCTTATTCCCATAGTCCTGCCATAATAAAAACATATTATCAATAATCAACTATAATTAAAAAATACTTTCAAGCAATTTAAATCAAACTTCCCTTAAATATTCTTACGGTTTTCTGAACTTAAATATCCTGCGAACTCAAGAAGGTTCGTCTATTTACTGTCAATCTTCATAATAACACTTTTTAAACCGCACAAGCTGGCTTTATCTTTGATGGACCAGCTGAACCCGAGCCCATGGCTCAAGCCTGTCCACTTGAAAATTTAAAATCAAACCAAATATAATATAGTTTTTTCTTAAGAAAATATTCTTTAACCTTTCATATTATTTTAACTAATTTTTTTTATAACAAGAAAAATTCAATTGTAGATCAAATACTACTATGAAGTGAAGTTTAATTGTTATCACTATATATTATTTGCATTTTAAAAATTCTAAAATTATATAGGATCAAAGTTGACATAAAATATATTAATAACACACATCTAATGTAATAATTCGGTTCTTGATTTTGGTTCTTCGGTTCGAAACGGTATGGGATGGTTCGGTTGGGTTCTCGGTACGAATATTTGTGAAATCTCTACAACCGTACCAATTATTTTCTGGTCGGTTCAGTACGGAGAAAGTCAATTGATCAACGATTATATTCCGATTCAGAGTGATTTCGGTTTTATTTTCAAAACAATTCAAAATTTTGAGTCTCATGCTTAGCCCTATCTACAATTCAATTTTTTCTATCGCAATAATGTTGACTATGAATCTTTATTATAGATTGGATATTGGGTTGACAACTGAAGAGACAACTTAAAAGTTTATATAATAAATTTTTTTCCAAACGATAAAATTCATAGAAAAAAAAATACATAATTACAAACGGCTCACTAGCCGAATAAGGAAGGACTACACACACGGGTAGCCTAGACCTAACACACAACAAAACCACAAAAACTAAAAAAATATATAATAATTTTTTAACTTAAACTTTTATATAATAATTTTATAAAGATCGAGTAGGGTAGATTCCGTGAAACTTTTATATAATAAAGTTCATTCTAAAAAGTAAAGACTGGTTAAAAGACAAAGAACTTTGAAACACATTTTCATTAAAATAAAACGTAATGATTTCGCGTTTTGGGTGAGTAGTGTGATTGGCCAAAAGATAATTCACTAAGATTGTTGATCCAACTGTCTCGTCTCGATTGACTACGAGTTTTGAACATCTCGACCGCCTTCACCTTCAAGAAACGGATCGACCTACAAATTGTTGGGGCCTGGCTCCGACATTGACACTCTAACGCTTAAGTTAGAAAACCATCATCTATTTAATCATGTATGATGAGTAATTTTAAGATCTTAGGGTATATAAATCATGAATCCCTTATTTATAAGAATCTTAATGACTTACTTTTGAAGACAAGGAGTTTCCTTCTTATCTAATAATTTTGATCATTCTTAATAAGGGTGTGGATATACATCGTCTTACTTCCATCCTTTTTGGTACTCTTTCTTAAATATTTATAGGTATTTAACCAATACCATATATCTTTTTAAACCCATAAGCCAGCTTTATCTTTGTTGGACCAGCCGCACCCGAGCCCACGGCCCAAGCCGGTCCACTTGGCCTTTTTTGTGGTACATCTCTTCCCTCCCATTTCAAGACGAGCTACTAGGACTTTTGTTGAAATTCCAGGTATTGTGCCTTTGATCTTGATTTGCTAAAGCATTCAAATGCACCATTAGAGGTCCTGAGCTTATCTGTCATAGTGTTTATCTTGTGTGCACTTATGGCTTTCGAGGAAACTTTGCACCTTTGCCCATGTGACCCCAGAGCTACCTAACGGGTGTTCCGTGACCTTAGGTCATCTGGATTCTGGGTTATCTACTCCCCCACATTGTTCTTAAATCTTTGGTTGCCCAAGACAACTTTTTTGGCTTCTGTGACTCATCATCAACCACCAATCGAGTCACCTTCTCCTTACGACCCTCTTCCAGCTTCCCAAAAACTTCCTCTTTGACCTTGACCTCTATGTGCGCCACTTTTTCTTCTACCACTTGAGCCCCGTGCACACCCATCGACATAATCTAGCTGAATTTCTTTCTGCTTCGTCTCTTCCTTTCAAGTTTGGTAGTTTTGATTAATATGGAAATTTTTCTCAAATAGCTTTAAACTCGGCTGCGGCTAGGACTCTACGTACTGCTCTCACATGTGATATTCAAAATATTGTGCGTGAGAAAAAAATAATTTGGCTCAAACTATTTAAGATTTAAAACAAAATTTTTTTGTTTGTTGTGACCTTTGGTCCAATTATTGGCATCACATTGGAATTACTTGTCATTGAATAGATGATACTTTATATTGCAAAAACATTTAATTGCTAGTACGTTATTTAATAACTCTCACACGACTTCTAATTTCGCTCGTTTAATTTCACATGTCTTTTTTTTCACGAAACGATAGAGAATATATATAAGCTCAAAACGAACAATGTTCGAATAGTACAGGCCAAACCCGAAGAAACTAAAAATGAAAGGACACGCACAAGGCGGCCTATAACCTCAACAAAGGACTACAAATAGAAGAAACTAACCACACTCCACTGCCCAAAGGCCTAGAGATGATAAAAAACTACTACAAGCAACATAAAACCGAATAAACCAAAACAGCTAGGAGTCTAAAAAAACAAACAGATCATAAATTGGAGGAGTGAGCTTGAGAAAAATCCATCCAGTCCTGCAGAGCTGCTTTAAGAACCAAATCGATTGGCATAAGAGAGTTTTGGAATAGGCTGAGGTTGCGAGTTTTCCAGAGCCACCAGAGGATGTATGTTGACAGTTGAATACGGGCCTATGATATTTCTGAATTGTCCACTGAACAGACATGGAGCCACCAGCTTTTGAAGGATAGTTCTTGAGAGTGATTGATGTTCCAAGTCACAGGGGATATGTGCCATAACTGAACTGCACTTTTACAATAGAATAAAATATGAGGGACAGATTCAGGGGCTTCTCCACAGATAGAGCAAATCACATCAAGCTGCAGTCCTTTCTTGATCAAATTTGTTTTGGCAGCAAGGCAGTTAGTAAGGCATTTCCAGACAAATAATTTAACCTTCCCCATCACTTTCAATTTCCACAGTCTGTTGTTAGTTTTGATCAATGTTCTAGCACTCAAATTGCTACAGCTAGGCAAGTCCAGAGACAGAAGTTTTTGTTGGATTAAGAATGAGTAAGTGCTAGAAACCGTGAATGTACCTTTGGTGTGGAATTTCCAGAACTGTTTATCTGCAGAGTTAGGCTTGAGAGTTTTGATGTTGAGTATGGCTTTGTTGTCTTCCTCATTGAAGACTTGATTGATTAACCAATCATTCCACTCCAGACCATTATCTTTGATCAATTCCTTCATCCAAATTAAGTGGCCCTCAGCAAACTCCAGCAAAGAAGGCTTGAGGTGACTGAGCTGAGGCACCCAGTTCACATCTGAAAGTCTTGTTGAATCTCCAGATCTAATCATCACAGCAAAGCCTTTTGCAAAGGTTGGGATGGCATCAAGCCAATTGGTCCATCACCAGGAACAGTTCTGGGTCTTAACAGCCTCAAAGATTGAAATATAAGGGTAATACCTGTCCTTCAGCAGGTTACTGACCAAGAGGTTAGGTTGTGTGGTGATTCTCCATAATTATTTGCATAGAAGAGCTACATTTAGAAGCTACAAGTCAAGAAAGCCTAAACCTCCCTTATCCTTAGGAATTGTGAGCAGATGTCAGGCTTTTCAATGAATCCCTTGAGAGAGCTCTTTCCCAAAATTCCACCAAAATTTAGAGCACGATTTTGAAATTGTAGCACAGAGGGTTTTGGGAAGCCTGAAGCATGACATAGAAAAGATTGGGAGGGCTTGAAGAACTGCTTTGATAAGCACAGCTTTACCAGCTTGGGATAGGAGCTTGGATTTCCAACTCTGAAGCTTTGCTTGAACAGATCCACAATGTAACTGAAGGTTTCAACCTTTGACTTCCCAATGCCCAGAGGGAGGCCTAAATATCTAGTAGACCTCTGAGGAGTGATGCCATTAAGGACTGAACATATGCTGGACTTTAGGTGGGCAGAAGTGTTCTTGCTAAAAAACACTGAAGACTTGCTTAAATTAACTGTTTGCCCAGTGAAAAGTTTATATCTCTCCAGAATTGAAAGAATTATGTAGGCTTGATCACTGCTAGCTTTGCAGAAGAACATGGAGTCATCTGCAAAGAGTAAGTGAGAGATTGTGGGGCCATTCTTGGAGAGTTTTAAGCCTGATAAAGAACCTGAGAAGAGAGCTTCTGAAACCAAAGCAGAAAGAACTTCAGCAACAATTATGAATAAGTAAGGGGATAGTGGATCCCTTTGTCTAATACCTCTTGAAGGTAGGACATAGCCACAAACATATCCATTAACTTTGAAAGAGTAAGAACAAGAAAAAATGCAGATCATGATTAATTTGACAAAGTTACTGTGAAATCCCATCTGCAACATAATCTTCTTGATAAAAATCTACTCAACTCTGTCGAAGGCTTTCATAAGATCAAGTTTCAGTGCCATAAAACAGTTCCTCCCAGAGTTGTGCCTATTCAGAAAATGGAAAGCCTCCTGCCCCACAATGATGTTATCCATAAGTTGTCTGCCCTTAATAAAGGCAGACTGTGATTCACTAATACAAACATTCAAACAACTTTGCAACCTTGTAGCAAGAAGTTTGGAGAGAATTTTGTAGACTACAGAACAAAGACTGATTGGTCTGTACTGAGTGATGAATTCAGGGTTCAAGCATTTAGGGATCAAAGAAATTATTGTGTGATTCCAGTATCTGAGAAGAAGACCATCATTGTGGAAGAAACTAGTTATAGCAGCAACTAATTCAGGTTTAATAATTTTCCAGAAAGATTGATAAAACAAAGCTGTCATACCATCTTCTCCTGGAGTTTTCTCTGGGTGTAGACTGAAGAGAGTTGCTTTGATCTCCTCCTCATCTACTGTTTTCAAGAGCTGAAGATTCATATCAGAAGTAACAGAATGAGGAATTAGCTGAAGGATAGAATCTCCTCCCCATGATCCTTCTGAGGTAAAGAGTTCTGAGTAGAAATCTGTTATATGATCTTGAATATCCTTGTGAGTGTTGCAGACTCTGTTCTGACTTGTAACAATTCTAGTGATTGCATTTTGTCTTCTTCTCTGCATAGTGTATGAATGAAAGAATTTTGAGTTGCAGTCACCTTCCCTCAGCCACTGAACATTGGCTTTTTGTAGCCAAAAAATTTCCTCAGATCTGTGGGCAGCTTCAAGCTCTATTTCTGAGCTAATCCAATTCTCCCAGTTTGTTGTGTTTCTGTTTTCCTGAAGAAGATCCAGCTTCTTTGAGAGATTTGCAATAAGAGATTGGTTCTCAGTTTTGAAAGAGGCACTCCACTTCAGCAAAGCCAGTCTTGTGGTTTTAATTTTCTCTTTCAGGATGAAAAAAGGAGTGCCTGACTGAGGTAAGTTCCAAGCTGCTTTCATAATATCACCAACACCCTTCCTAGTAAGCCACCTTTTGTCAAAGGAAAACTTACTTTTCCTTTTGGATTTACTGTCCCATATGTGCAAGATCAGCATTGAGTGATCAGAGGAAGCTTTGGTCATAGTAGAAATATAAGCATGAGGGTGATTCTCTAGCCAGTCAGGAGAAGCAAATCCTCTGTCCAATTTTTCCTCCACTAGACCTTCAGTGAATCTGTTGTTGCACCAAGTGAACTTGTTCCCAATCATCCTTATTTCTTCCATTCCCATTAGATTAGTAAAATTTCTGAAGCCTGCCTTGCTGGATTCTGACCTAGGGATTCTCCCTCTTTTGTCCTCCTTAGAGTTGATGTCATTCCAATTACCTTGTATATACAAGTTGTCTCCCCAGAGAGATTTGGCTGTTTCTAAATCCCTCCATTGATCTTGTCTGATGGTATTTGAAGTGCTAAGATAAACAAAGGTTCCCCATGTAGAGGCAACATCAGCCATTTTGTACTCCACAGCAATGAAGAATTGTTGGCAGATAACTTGAGAAATCTGCACTTCATTATTCCAGCATAAGACTAATCCACCACTCAACCCAACAGGATCTACAATAGCACACTTGTTGTCAAAACCCAGTTTCCTAACAACTGTTTTCACAAAAGCAGAAGAATTTTTAGTTTCGGATAAAAATAAAAAAAGTGGGTGATGAGCCTTGAAAGACTCTCTAAATTGGGAAACTGTAGAGGGCCCACCCAGCCCTCTACAGTTCCACACCACAACTAGCATTGGGAACTTGGTGCCAATCTAGGCTGGCCACCTCCACCTTTTTTATTTCAGTTTTCTATTTTTTCCCACTTTCCTCAGATAGCTTATCATCATGGTCACCTTCTGGTTTTTGAATTTGCTCCTGTCTAGGCCTTTTTCCACTGCTACTATTCTCCATCAGAGAAAGAATATCAGGTTGTCTCTGAAGCCTACCCGTTCTTGCTGATGATCTTTTCCAAGTTCTGGAAATAGCTTTGTGCAAATCATGGACTGAGACCATAGCCTTATTGTGAGATTTTGAAATAGCTTGTTCTGTTTCCATTACAGAAATCTGAGGGATATTGTTTGGGAGTTGATGAGGGAGTGTTTTTTCTGGGATTGTGAGACTGGTAGAAGGTAGTTTTTCAGTAGGCATTGGTGTTTTCTGAGTTGAAGTATGAAGAGAAGAGGAGGCAACTGAGGTTTGGATATTATGGTGTGAAGAGGAAGCAGGTAAGGGAATTAGCTAGTTACTGGCATTGTCTTGACTGAAAGGGGATGTGGGGGCATTGACTGGAGTTGGAGGTGAGGCAAAGGCTGCTCGTGGCGAACTTTGAGATCCTGCATTGTTAGTCTCAGCCCAATGTCGGCTTTCAGTGGCCCGTATCCAATCTCTAAATTGTCCTTCTTGACTGAGTTTGAGCGGATATCCTCCAGTCTTTTTGAACACTCTCTATCCAAGTAACCAATCCAACCACAGTAATGACAGTGGTTTACTAGTTTTTCGTATTTAAAGCTTACAGTAGCTTCTTGGTCGTCCAGTCTGAGCTTAGCACATCTATAAAGAGGTTCAATCAAATTCACGGCCGCAAGAAGACGCATAATTCTTCCTCCCTGACTTCCTGCTCCCACAATCACAACATTCTTTACTTGTTTGAACACCCTTCCTATTTTTATACCCACATCAGTACTAAGTCAGTTAAGGGGTACATTAAAAACCTGAACCCAGAGCTGCAGCTCTTGAAATATGGGGTGGTTCATCGATAGCACTGTTTTCCATTCTGAAAGGATGAGGTATTGATTTTCGAAAGTCCAGTTGATGCCTTTATTCACTTTCTCCAGATCTTCTCTGTTTTGGAAAATGAATTGGAAGAAGTTCTGGCCTAGTTCTCGTACTTCCATAGGCTCACGGAGTTTCCATATGTAGTTCATCGCCCTCTGAACTCCAATTCAAGTAGCTTTTATGTCACCAATAATTTTGCCAAATAAACTACGCTTACATTCTCCATCGCTGAGTTTGATGTCAACTTGACCCAAATCGATGTAGTTATGCTCTTTTTTCGACAGTGAGAATCCTTCAAGGCGTTGGGAAAGTTCGTCGTCTTGCCCTGTGCAAGAACTAGACCCCAAACCCTAATTTCCACTAGAGCAGAAGCGGTTGAATCAAACACTCTAATGCTGGCAAAGAAGATGAGAGGGTAATGAAAAATGGAACGAGAGAAGAAGGAATTGAAGCAATGCCGGACCAAACTGCAAAACGCTCTCCGGCGATAGAATATCAGACGCTCCCAAGCGAGAGAATCTTTTCACGTGTCTTGAATACTTAGAGAATTGGTAAAAAAAAAAATTATTTTATTTTATTTTATTTTATTTTATAATGCTAATGTTAATACCGCTTCCTTAAATGAACTTAAAGAAATTTGTCGTCCCTTTCATTAGGAGTATATGTCATGTTCGTAATCTCTGTGTTCAAACGAGTTATCATTCTTCGAAAGAGTGAGTCACGCCCATTAGCGAGGTTGTTACTTACTTAAATCGTCGCCCTCAGAAAAATGAAAAAATGACTTATATTGTAGATAGTATGGTTCTTTGTGTCGAACAGAAAGATCATACTATCAGTTCCTTTTAAGATGAATTTATTGTTCATAGTCTAGACATGTATTGAAACCCCTGTTGGAAAATGCTATAGTGTAGTTTTGAATTAGTTGATCTTTGACTGGCGAATTACACTAGTACTTATGATAAGTATTGAATGGACCGCGGAAGGATAAGGTTGTTTGATTTATTAATCGTTGAAGTAATCTACATCTTCAGTAATTTATGCATACTCTAAAGTGGTAATGCAATAAACAGGCATATATGCTCATTACTTGTTTATTTAATTTATCAAGGGTGATTCCTATTTTATTAGGATGACACACTCGATACTTTGGTAAATGATTATGTTTATATACATATATATATATATATATTTCAATTTTATTTTAATTTACCTTTTGATCGATCTAAGCCGAATAATATATTATTTTATTTATCGAAACGAGCATCGAGTTTAGCGGGATATTTAATCGAAAGCCACGTGCCGAGAATTTGGACTGCCCGGAACTAAATCGCACGCCATACTCGATTTTTCCGCCCGTTCCGAGTCCTTTTCATACATGACCTTTCTAATTTGAATATTTTTTTAAAATCAATGTTGTAATTCCTTTCTCCATAAATCAGCCATTTTAATTACCCATCATGTGGTATTTGTTACCATTTAATTAGAATTTATTACTATTAATTAAGTTTTATTGGCCTCTCATCACTCTCTCTCTCTCTCTCTCTCTCTCTCTCTCTATTAATCCCTCCCTCTTCCCCACGTTCAGAAACGATTTTCTTCCCCCTCCCACTCTCTTCTCTCAAAATTTCTCCCTACCACCAATGTCTCTCGCCGGAATATCGACGCACCGGAAATCCTTGTCGCGCTGCTGACCGCACGTCATCACCTCCGCGAGCCGTCTGTCATTTCCGCACGTGAAGACCACCTTCGCCATATCCGCCGATAACCGCACTCAACTGCGATGATGGGCCTACTATTTTAGCAGTGAACCACCAACAACGTGCGCGAGACCTGAAATCGCTGCCTTCCGCAACTCTCGCCAGACCAGCAGAGAAGCCCGACATCGCCGAACCATCAACGCTGACGTCCCAGCGAGCACACCTCGGTCATCCCTTTTTGCACCGCCGTCTGACCATCATCAGGAACCAGTATCACAGCCTTCCCTCAACCATCGTCGAAAAACAAAAACAACTCAGCAACATCGCAACGGCTCCGCCGACATCGCCTCATGTCGCTGCCGCTCGAGCATCATAGAGACTGCAGTTGCACTCTTTGTCTCCATGGTCAGTCTCCCCTTTTCTTGAGCCACTAACCGTCCACTTCGAACCGCAGTTGTTTAACTGGTGAGAGACGGACCGTTTCCAACGCGAACCAAGGCCGAGCATGAGCCGCCCGATGTTCGTGGGTTTATTTGTCCGGGTCCCATCCTTAGGGCTGAAACTCCTCGCTTTTCGTTGGTACGGGACCTCTTAACCGGGATGCATTTTAATAGTTTGAGTGTCGAGTCGAGCTCGGAGGTCTTCGGCCTCGAAGGCTTCATATCGGATATAAATCGGGAGAAAAGAAAGAAGTTTGTGGATTTTAAACCCTCTTGGCCAAACGACGTTAAGAGTTGTGTTCAAGAAGTGTACGATTTCTGGTACACCTTGCATAAAGGAAAAACCCCCATTGTCTATCACGAAGACGGTGTTGACAAGCTTGTTCAAATCCTACCCCCGCCGTGGAAGAGAGTAGTTGAAGTACTGTGCGAGGTGCATCAGAAGAAGAAACCAGTCGTTTTTCTGGATCACCGACCTATGAATATGTATGATGTGGTCGCTCGCCTTGGCATAAAATGGGAGCATAAGGAAATGCAACTTGAAGTAGACTTTGAGTCGAACCTCACCTCAGAATGCACCCTATCCAGACTTAACCCCGTCTCCTCCTCATCGGAGTACGGTAATGGGTGGGTTTTCTAGGTATTACTCGACTATATGCTTTGTTGATATATAAATGATAAGATGAGTCATTATTCGAATATAAATACAATAGATCCTTAAGGTTTAATGTAAAACCCTTAAGATCTGTTGCTAACTCATGGTTGACTCTTGGACTATGGAACATCTTAGTGTCCTGATCACAATGGCTTTGGCCTTGTGCATCCTGGACTTATATTTCTCGAGTTATGGATTTTAGAAGTCGATGTCATTTCAGAAAATTGTATAATGCATGATAGATCATGTGGCTGTCAAATATACTGAACTGTCCAAATGTTACTTCTCAGTTATTTGTTTATTTCATGGTAAATTTTCATGAATTTTTAAAGATCGCATGCTAGGATAAATAATTAATTGTTCTAATCATATTATATGTCGGAACTTATGTTAAATTTTCATGATTCACATGCATATATATTTATGTTTGATATTTTTATGTGTCCTTAACATGATGTAGTATTTGTTATATAATTTGAGATCTTGTATCATTCATTTGCCTAGTCAACAAATCCATGCTCATTTATGTTGAGAATTTGTATGAATTTGTAAACTCTTAAGGCTTCATTTGTAAGGCTGAAACTTGGTGAAATTCCTTTATTCACTGGGTTCTACTAGGTGTCTTCCCATGCTTGATGTAGAGTCTAGTCAAATGTTCCATAAATCCACTAGAATTTTCCACGAGCCACTTAGTTGACGAGTTTCAACTAAGTTTGTGTGTTCGTTGGAATTGATTGTAATCGAAAGTCTATCTTGATTTCGTGTAGGTGTTTTTGAGGTGTTGACCTCATCACTTACTCGAGCCTCGCTTTGTGTTTGTCGCTGTCTCTAGGTGGGTTTGAAAAATTGTCTATGCTGTAAATGTTATTACTGTTATAATTGTTTACTTGTGGTATGATCAAAGTATGCATGTGAAACATGTAGCCTTCGATGTGAGCTGTACCGACCGTCGAACGGTTATCCCCGTAGCTATAGAACATACCCAATGGGTAGTCTCCTTTATTATTATTGGCAGTCAG